TACATTAATCTAGACAAATTGTTAATCTAACATCTTGTTAAAGAAGAGGTAAACAGCTCCGTTCTATTGTTATCAAAGCATATACGTAACAAAAACCAATGCTTTGAAATAATAAAATTTGGATAAGGGTTTGAATTAACTGGTTGCTGATACACAGAACTGAATCAAAATTTCATGGTTGAAACATTTGAATTTTAACAATTAAATCACAAGTTCAAATTTATATTTGTTTGGTCAAAAATTTAATTATAAATATCAACTATGGGATAATTCAATCCCTTGTTAATAATATTATAAATAGCATACATATTGAACAAGTTAATGGCTAAGTTTAGTGGATAACGCGTTGGACATTTGAAGTGAAAAATATTATTTTCGAGATCGAACATGAACATCAACACTGGACTGGATGTACAGCCAACTGATGAGCTCCAAATGGAAAGAAACTCACATTCTTTACTTTATTGCCTTTCATAATCTATTTATCCCAATGAATCAAACGCGTTGAAAGGCAAAAAGGAATGAATAATAAGCAGTGTGTAATAGTGATTATCATCTACTTAATTAATATACACTTTAACTTATTAATCATTTTTATTTTGCGTTTATCATTCAAGAATAACGGCTAAACAATCTGCAAAATATATAACTCAGTTTTTTTATATCAGAAACATCAATTAATTATGTGTACTTAACGAGGTTATGAAATGAAATCATAGCAACAACATGTATTTATTATAACTTATCATATGTCTGCTATATCCCGTGGAGATTTATGAATGGTAACTTTTGAGGATTATTTATGGATCAATGTAATATGTATATTTCCTTTTGTATAATTGTTAAGTAACTTAAATATTCATATTCGTGTCCTTCTTATTATAAGCCTTATTTTGACTATTACTGTACGATTTACCATTCTTGAGTTATCCCTAGTCCATTAATTACTGTTCCCCCTATTCACAGTCACATTTGGCTAAATATTGTACAAATGTTATTTTCTATTTTATAGTACGATATGGTCTGTTTGTTTGGTATATAAACCCAGTATGTTTGAAATACAATGATTCATACCGCAGAGGCTGTTATTGGTATTCTAGACTTAACTGGCTGGGCTAGGCAGAAAGCAGGAATGATACGTACTCAAGACTGCTCATACGCCTTTTCTGTATCATTGCTCTGATCGATAATTCACTCCTCTCTCATTGACGGGGATAATCACGTCATATATCAAACAGGGCAAGAACGCACTTAATCGATATAATAATGTCAAAACAAAACAAAAATCGAGGAAAATTTTGAAAATGTTAAAATACAGTAACATAAAAGAATATGAACAAAATTATTTCAATGTCACTATGGAAAATGTTAACTTAGTACACTTGACTTCCAATAACAAAGTTCATCTACACACATATACACATGCATTAGCGCGAGCCCGTAAATAAAAATACACTTTAAAAAGATGCCTAAACCCTTGGTTTTTAAAAAGCTAAATTTATAAGTAAACAAATATAACTACATTATTAATCAAATCTAAACATCTACAAATTCATATTTTGTTTACATATCAAATTAAATATAAACATTTCATTTATTATGATAACTAATTCACAATATAGTGGGGGGAGAAAAAAAAAAGAAGAATCATTTTTATCTTTTACAAACTCCTTAGAATATCAAGAAAAACAAAAAAAGAATTTACATATTTACTTAAAATATCATATTAAATGATTGAATACCAATCGGTTACAAATCAAGCATTATTAATTAAGAAAAATCAATTTCGTTGTCATGGTAATACATATATGTATAGATATATAAATAACAGTTATGGAAAAAGACTGTGTTAACATATAGATTCATGTGTAATGGGATGATCAGATATATAATAATCAGGTGAATGTCACCATAAAAGTTGAGGTTTGAAAACTTTAAATGAAAGAGTGAGATATTATGTATTATATTATATATTGCCCCAAAAAATCTCTGGTATGGTTGAGAGCAGGGAGACTCAGCTCTCCCTTTCAAAATGTTCTCACATAGCTATGTGTACAAAGCCACTGCCAGGGGGTTCTACTAACTGCCTTCTCGCGGCAAAAAACGAATGTCCGGCAATTTGACCAGGTTGCTGAATACAGAGGATCCACGGAAGAGATTCGGAAAACCCTGATTTCAAACCAGTGGTGCACATAGGCTCCAGGATCATGTGACAACAAATGGAGTATGAACCTATTGTTGGTCACTGGCTACCATGAGACTGTATCTCCTCACGTTGTTCCACTTCCTTATAGATTAGACCTCTAGGTCAAAGGCTGGGCGCATATATATTTGGCGCCTCCTTGTACCAATAGTGATGTATTTAAGTAAATAAACAAATGGAGTTGTGAATTTTTCACTAACTCAGGCAGTTAGAATACAAGTCCCACATAGTTAGAAATCAATTAATTACATGTAGTATTATACTGAAACCTTAAAACAGGGGCCAAAAAAGCACAGCATCAGTTCGTAAATTAACTGACAATTGAATAGATTCTTCTCGGGAAAACGAAGTTTTCTTGGTTAAGATTCATGAAATAATTATAATCAAATGGATTTGTAAAACATCAAACTGATTTTAAAGCATTTTAATGAGTCGATGATGTAGATTATACAAATAATGATAATCATTATATTAAATTTGACAGTATAACGACAGACGTAGTAGTAATAGTAGTAGTGCAGAGTAGTAGTAGTAGTAACATAAGTAGTGGAAGGAAAAATGAAAACATGGTGATAAAAAACACAGATATTTCTATATTACGAAAAAACTCAACACAGAAAATATTTATTTGGCAATAATCCTTACCACTTGACTCTCAACTATTCAAATGTAAGTTCGAACCTTGTCAGGTCTACTCTATTATGGTGGGCCGGTTGTCTACCTTGCACCCAATATAAAAATGTGACTTGGAAAAATAGTACCCAAATAAGTGGTTTTTAAATAAGATAGGAACTGGGAACGAATCAGCCTCACACTTTCCTACAATCAGTGATTTTTCGGACTGATCTTATGAATTGGTTTTTACCAACATATTCCAACACTGCTCAGTGTATTATCGTTTTGAGTAGGTGGTAGTCGTTGATCATAAATAACATATGTATTAGGACGGCTTAGTAAAAAAAGATTTATAGTCTCATCAACACATTCACCCAACCTATCCGTTATTCACTAGATGACTTTACAGTGTGAAAAATGCTTTGAAAACACCTATGATTAAATATTTACGGTTTATGCCTTATAATTTCATGTTTCACAATCGCAGAGAAATACGGTGATATGATGAATGCACTGTGAAACTTAAAAAAAATAAGTCTGAATATACAATTACAGTGAGCAAACGACAATTAGTGATAAACATAGGACTATATAAGATATATAATTCAAAACTTGTTTTAAAAACCTTTTTTAATTTTAGGAAAACAGTAACAACATTTTTAAAGGTTAACTCAAATTTTAGAGATTCTAGTATTATACTCGACAACAGTTCCCTTTATGAACTGATATCAATTATCGAACTCGCAAGATGATAGCAATCGATGGTTTGAGATCTTGACATGGCTCAAAATAGTTTGCGATGCCGCAGGTGCATCAACTCTTTGTGTTCTACCAAATTCTAATCCCCTGGATTCTTCATGTCCCTATCCTTTTTTTCTCTTTCCAAATTTATTTCACTGGATTATACTCTTTGAATAACATCTTCAAACCCTAATCTTTCCGATTACTGCTTATACTCTTACTACTTCTACCATTATGGGATTTGAATCGACAAATGCACCTCTGTGCTAATGTGGTATGGCGACTCGAACTGATGTATGTACGTACGAAGTTCTACGTTGTAACTGACTGACTGACTGATAGAACCATTATGAAATGCTCTCACATGGCCACGTGTATATAGCCTCTACTAGGCAAGTCTCACTCACTGCCTTCTAGCGACATTACTGTTGTTTACGAAATTGAGAGGATGAAAAGTGAATGTCCGACGCTTTAACCGAGTCAGTGGACACGGAAAGTTCATCCAGAAGAGTTGGAAAACCCTAATTCCAAACCAATCGTTCACATGGGATCCACTATCCTGAGAGAACAAATGGCGTATGAATCAATCGTTGGTCACTGACTACCATAAGTATCTGGTGCCTCTTTGTACCAATATTCATGTGTTTAAATAGATAAATAACCATTATGAAATTAAAATGTACAAAACACTTCTTTTCATTTGAAGATAAAACACCTTCAAATTGAATGAAAAGTTTATGGAAGAATTTATTAATTGTGCATTGCAGACTGGATTTTATTTGTAATTCTCAAAATTGTAGTGTGAATTACCGACTGATGAAGTCAATCATGTAGAGATTAAGCCAAATATTTTATCGGGGAAAGTCAGTTTTAATTTAATTGTGACAAATTTAAAAATAATAGATGTGACATTGTGGACAATGCAAAATATGAACTTCCTTGAATCAATAACCAATGTGGTTGCGAGTGAGCATAGTTGCAAATTTCGAAAGAAAAACGAGACAATTATTCAATGCTCTCTCTGTTTTTCAATGGCTTTTTAACTGACATTGGTTACGTCATATCAACATTTTAATATATATTGAAATTGTCCTATGACCACTCTTCATAACCATTTTGAATTTTAGAAACAGAAATATATCCCAGAGACCTAACTCTGGTAGGCGGATAAAATGGTTTCACGGACAACTATTACTGAATTTCAAATCACATTGTTGTAATACAGTAGCAATTCATTAGCAACACATATATTTAGTTGCACAAGATCCAAGTCAATAAGACCACAATCAATAAGGATAATAAAGGTTTAAAGAACAGAGCAAATGATCCCTTGTTTACTAGTTACCTATAACTAACGACCTTCGTAACTAGCCAGGCCAGTTCATATATTTATTAGACAGATTATATATACATTTAATAGCTTGTTGTATAATTAACTTACCACATATCTGTAGCAAATGTGATAGGATCATAGTTAATAATTTCCGGTGCTAAAAAGGTGAGAGAAAAAAGAGAAGTATAAATAATCTATGTAATATTAAATTAACGAATAGTTAATTAGAAGGGGTTTTGTGGAGATTTCAGTATTTTCCAAAGTTGAAATCATAAGTCGATTGAAGCTAGACCACCATGGAAAACCTGGAAGCAATGGACGGCCGTTTCGTCCTATTATGGGACTCTTAAGCAGTGTGCAACCACGATCCCGCACTCGCGAGATTCGAACCCAGGACCTACCAGTCTCGAGCCAGAGCCATTAACCGATAGACCACTGAACCGGTATCCGACGGTGTTAATATTTAACATCAATCAACCCATGAAGTTGAGCAACCGTCTGTTAGGAGATATCAACTCACTGAAGACATTGGTGAATGGTTGCTCAATTTCGTGGATCAGTCGAAGTTAAACATTAACACCATTGGATGCCGGCTCAGTGGTCTATCGGTTAATGGCTATGGCTCGAGACTAGTAGGTCCTGGATTCTAATCTCGCGAGTGAGGATAGTGGATGCACATTGCTGAGGAGTCCCATAATAGGACGAAACGGCTGTCTAGTGCTTCCAGGTTTTCCATGGTGGTCTAGCTTCGATCGACTCATGATTTCAACTTTGAAGAATAGTTAATTACCAAATTTTACCGATAATTATGAAGCTGAGTTCCAACTTAAATAAGTTCAATTCTTATTTTCTTACAATTAAATAGAAGTAATTTTCTTACATAGCAACACATAGGCCAAAGAATAGGTTTATAAACTCGAACAGCAACAATTCAAATGTCACAACAACTGGTGTTATTTAATTTGTCAAAGTGAAATAGGTGGGAAATGAAATCCGAACCTTTAATCTATTACTAATTGAGATTTGAATGCTTTATAGATTACTTCCTAGTTACTAGGTTACCCTATCACTAAATGACTGACTGATTATGTTTTCAATTCATCTGATAAATCTTAGTGACTTATTTCATATGCATTTTTTTCTGAAAAAACTCATTCTTTACATTTAGTTTTCACTACATCTATTATTAATTCGGTACCTTTGCTTTTCAGCATTTTGATATACTTTTTTACTAATGCATGAGATTAGCACTCTTCCTGTGGTTTACAGCTAGTTAGATTGATTCAAATCTATATCCGTTTGATAGTCTAAAGTTAATTAATCGTAGTTGAATTCACGATATGATTATCATCCTCTTATTAACAAGACAGAGTCATGACATGTTTAATTCAGGCTCAAATTTGAATATGCTGATATCTATTTCTCAATCAGTCAGAGTTAGTGATTAAATGGAGGAAATGCTAGAAGATTCGATATAGTATAGGGACGAGCAAACCAGAATTGATGATAAGACTCCCAAATTTTTTGCGGAATATTCAAATACTATCTGTAGCGAGTAGTAGAAATACCTCTGTACAGTGCTCAGAGCGTTTAAAATCAAAGCGAAAAGTTAGTTTTTTTCATTAAATAGTAACAAAGATAGTTTTAAACATATCAATTGCTTAATTCTGTTTATATAGGTTGAACAAAACATGAAGATAGACAATATCCCTAATGCATTTTTCGATTACAACTTGTGTTAGTCCGTGATAAAAACTGATAGCCTTAACCCTATAGTCCGTATACCATAAATGCATAGCTCCAATAAAGAATAATGTGGAGACTCCTAAAAGTCTACTTGAGTTCTTTAAAAGGTTCGAGAATACAGATAATCTATATTTATAACGGTAAATTCGTCCTTAATTTTTTTTTCAATTTAAAAGCAGAGTAATCTATAGAAGACGTTAACAGGTTCATTAATTATGTAAAATTTGTTTACACACTGTGATATTATTGTTTTATTTTCCATAATCTATTCATTTTCAAAAGCCATTTTCTAATTTAATTAAGAACTGGTTAAAAATTCGCCATCATTATTTTAAACTCATCCCTACGCTATACATTTGTCGAAGATCTATATTTTTAAATTTTACGTAAACTTTGATATTTTTACTACTATGCCCTGGTACGGCCGAGAGTGGGGAGAGTCCAAATGCTCTCACATGGCCACGCGTACATAGCCTCTGTCAGGCAAGTCCTACTCACTACCTTCTCGTGGCATTACTGTTGTTTACGAAATTGAGAGGATGAAAAGTGAATGTCCGACGCTTTAACCGAGTCAGTGGACACGGAAAGTCCATCCAGAGGAGTTGGAAAACCCTAATTCCGAACCAATCGTGCACATGGGATCCACTATCCTGAGAGAACAAATGGCGTATGAATCAATCGTTGGTCACTGACTATCATAGGAATGCATCTCCTTACGATGTTCCACTGACTTGTGGATCAGATCTTTAGGTTAAAGGCTCCAGGTGTGGCTCCCTAAGAAAAACCACCTACTTCGGTTTGGGCACCTGGGCAGTATCACAGACATCACACAAATCAAATGAGATTTGTGCGGCGCATATATATCTGGTACCCCTTTGTACCAATATTTATATGTTTAAATAATAATAAAATAAAGATTTATATTTTTAAATTTGACGTAAACTTTAATATTTCTACGACTATCATCCATGTTGTACAGATTTATTAGAATTCTTATATATATTGTTCTTTTATAATTCTTGTTCTAATCTAATGTATATATATTGTATGATTAGAGAATACTAAACAATGAAGAATAATTTTTGACAGAGTTTTGTTCTCTGAGCTAGATGATTTGGTCATGGAGCTTTCATCGTCTATCTGAACGACATCATCAGCACAAACTTCGGGTAGAAATCAAATGTTTGAATTTTCTCCACATGTGATTCACAACTTGTCTTGTGCACCTCGATGTAGATTGATTCTTGTTGACCATAAATATGTCATTGTTTATGTATTTTTTCGTTTTGGTTGTATCTCTAGCTCAAAGAACAAGACATCAACAAAATCACCCACCTCAGCTTCAAATCTTCACCACCATCTCAATGAAGAAGAATAATAGTGCTTTTAGTAATTTCATTTAAATTATAAAACGATCTAATGAAACCATAATAGTAACGAATCTTTTCATTAACAGACTTATTTCTATAAAATTAAATTAAATTTATTAAATGAATTTTTTTGTTTAGTTTATCATAGAAAATGCGGGTAACTTAGTGAAATAGAAAAAAAAAAAGAAAAGAAAATTTAATTAAATCACCCGTATATTTAACCGAATAAATTTTATTAAAAAAATTATTACATAATCAATAAGCAAATAAGTAGTTATATGGTTCTCTTTTATTTTTAATACATGCAAAATGAGGTTTGAATCATAAATATTCTATATATAAATATACAATCTCTATTATGTAATTGGTTCCAGTTGAAAAAAAAAGGAAAAAACTTATCTTGAAGGTGAAAAATTAGAGAGAAAAACAAATACATAATTAAATAATCCATAACATACTTAGTATTGTTTGTTTGAATCTTTCCATTGATGTATAGGACTACAATTGATAAGTCTCTTATTGGCCATATGTGCATACTATGCGTATTGTTTCGATAAAGCCTTAATTTACAAACATTATAAGCAAAGATGGATAGTGGCTAGTAGTGAAATTCAGGATGGGCGTTTTGTCTTATTTGAGACTCGTCAACTGGATGTACCTGCATTTCAGAGTTAATGCTCAATTTAGGACTCAAAACCAATAGCTTTCGTTTACGTTATCTACTCAGCTACGTGATGGCGTTTGAAGCGAATGGTACTAGGTTCGAGTCAAAGAGTGAACATCAACACTGAGATACAGGTACATCCAGCTGACGAGTCTCAAATAGGACGAAACGCGCGTCCTGGATTTCACTGCTAGCAATTATCCATCCTTGCTTATAATTCATAACAGTTCTGTTAAGATTAAATTTCATTATATCTAGAGAAAATAGGTTGTTTTTTACTGGTAACATGTACAAAAAGGTAAACAGAAATAAAATCTGACAGTTAGATTTTAATGTCACTGAAGTGTAAGTGATAGAAAAATAATCCGAATCTCCAAATCGATTTTGAATACTTTCAAATCATAATTATTTTTGTGTTTAGTAGCATTTTATCCACATATAGTCAGTCAGTCAGTTACAATGTACGACCAAGCACATATATGAATCGGTATCAGTTGCCATACCTCGTTAGCACAACAAGATGATCACCTAATTCATAGAAGTAGTTAATTTAGTGGTGGTATTATATAAAAGAAACGTTGTATATAAGGATATAGTATAGGAAGAAAGAAAGATATGAAGCAATTTTAATCTCAAGGTTTAAGGGAAGATAAAGAGTGTATACACCTGCGTCATTGTGATCGATTCTGAGCCATATCACACAGAGCCTCAAACCATTGGTTACGATAGTCGCACGGAACATAACCAAGTAGTCTGCATCTGACAACATGGCTAAGACTAGACTTATATGTATTTCTACATATAAGTTATTTTCGTTTACGAAAGTCTATCCTATTGTCATTTGATAACAGTCTAACACGCAAGATTTATTATATAAATAATTTTGTTCCATCAACAGTTGTCACTTCATCAATGTATTATTATCAAATATATATCGATTTCAATTGTATTTATTATTTAAGTGATACAAGTATGATCATATTCATAGCACATCCGAAATTATTTATCAAAATGACAAGTGGACTGGGCCATGTTGGTAGGTGTAGATTACCTGGTTGCGATTCGCGAGATGATAGCAATCGATTGTTAGAGACCTTGAATGACATTGCTCAAAATCGTTTGCAATGGCGAAGGTGCATCCACTGTTTGTGTTCTACCAAATTCTAATCTTCTGAATTCTTCATGTCTGTATCCTTTTTCTCTTTCCAAATTTATTTCATTGTATTATACTCCTTCAATAACATCTTCAAACCCATATCTTTCACATTACTGCTTATACTCTTATTACTTCTACCATTATGGGATTTGAATCGACAACTTCATCTTTGTGCTAATGTGGTATGGCAACTCGAACTGATGTACGTACGTACGAAGTTC